CGATCTCAGGCCATTGGAAAACTAATCAAGGCTCAGCGATGCTCGAGCAAATCACGTTAACGGAGAAGTACAAGTCCTGGGTGGATGAGGTGAGTGGCATAAATCACAAAAGCACACACACACACACACACACAAAATATATATACTGTTAAGCAAAAAAAGCTGTAAAGACGGAAAAAGTGAGACACTTCTCAGACACGGCGGTGAGCGGTTGAATGTCTGTTGCGTCGCTATCAGCTCATCGAATTGCAATTTGCAAATTGTGTGCATCAATCAAATCCGGTTTGTTGTCGGCTTCACGCTCTCTCTCGCGCATAGCTCGAGTGCACTCACTCAAGCGTTGTTGCGCGTATCAAAGCTCGTTTAGTCGCAGCCGCTTAGACCATGATCATAAATTTACTGTAATTTACAGTTTTGACTTGTATACCCCGCCGGCGCACTAATAGTTCCATTGATTTATTTGACAAACAGTCAGTGCCGCGTACATTCTAATACGTATTTACAAATATTGCTACGAGAATGTGAATGTTAACGGCATATGGCCCTCAGTTTCAATTTTAATGTTCGCTAATTGTAACACAAGATATTACATTGCCAAAATTTTGCGAAGATGAATTCTGTACTAGCGGGGCATAACGTTATCGAAAGGTTCGTGGAGCGCTTATATTTCGAAATATCGTATAACAATGTATTTAGACGTTATTCAGTGAGTGATGAGCTACTCCTTCGTAGGCACTAGGTTTGCAACCAATACATAACGTTTCCAGTAGCGAAGAACGCAGACATAAAATATTATTTTGGGAATGAAAAGTATCATTAGTTAGCCAATTAGTGTGTGAACTGGATCAGAGCATTTTTCGTCACAGTATATGTTCTCTCAAGCTCATCTTGAAAAGCGTCCTGTTGGTTTCAGAGCGATAGCAGTCGATATCAAAAACTTCAGTTTACTTAATGTTTTGTATATAAAGCGATATAATATTGACTAGATTAGTATCAAATCCTGAAAGTTTTACGAAATACGTAACGTTTAGAGGTCGCGAGAGCGGGCTTGATAACGTAAATGAATACCCTGTATTCATCAAGCGTACTTTACATTACTCATGACGCGGCGTCGGTTAAGGAATATAACATCGAAACAGTCCGACATTAGATTAACTTTTTGGTCAAATATGAAAAGAGAGTCAAATCTCTGACTGCCTGTAACTTTTTTTCAAAACTGAAAAATCTGCTTGGGGAAACGCATACAAATGTTTGACAACGTTAACAAATACCTGTCAAATATACACTACTTAACAAAAGAGGATCTAACTTCGAAAGAAAAAGGTGGTTGGATTTATACAAAAGTTTTATATGAACCAGTCTGAGTCAGATTTGACCTTGAATGTACTTTATAATCATATGAACTGCCTTTAGAAAGTTTTGAGATTTGTTTATAACATCGTTTTTTGAAGTGCGACTTCACACCGAATTGAATTTTCCGGCCTATCTGCCTGTAAGCTTAAACCACAGCCACCACAAACCTCCCCAAAGGGTCAAACCCAAAGAGCAGATTAGACCGAACTGCAAGGGCTAACAGCTCTCCACCATATCACATTTAAGTCTCCGGTCAGACTTTTTAGCTTTTGCAACTAATAGTTGAGCACCTATCCAACTCAATGACAACTGGTGACATTTTCGCTTGAATTTCAAATATCTTTTCAGAAATCTCATTCAAACTGATATTACAATTCAAAATGAGTATTATAGTACTATTTCTGGCAATAGTATTCTGAAATTTCGAGGCAAGCCCAAAAAGAGATCCTGAACGATTTACGAAATTTTAATTTAGTCGCCTTTTTTGACAGGTATACCTTACCGCGGGCAAATTTTCCCCCCTGCTCGCTGAGTGAAAGTTCTACCAACTAATATAACGAGTTTCGAACTTCCAGTTGAATTTATATCACAATGTGCTATTTAACTAGTATTGCCAATATCTGTCTATAAGTATTTCACCAGCTTTGATCCTTCCAAGTTCCAAGAGTATAAAATTTTCGGTTACACCCGAACTCAGTCCGTCTTTACTTGTTTTCAAATTAAATGAAATTCACAATGTGGAGGTAGGTTCTATGGATCCCAATCTTTAACGACCTGCTTAAAAAACTTGAGGATCATGACTGCCAGATGATACAGTGAAATAACTAGCGCCCATCCTGGATAGGAAACTTTCTATAAGCCGAATATAGCAGAGAGAGCAAAAAAGGTATCGATTGCCTTATACTGTTATAGAGGAAAGTGATTCCTTGGCTCTGGCTCTATGACAACATAGTCAAGCCCATTATATTTTGCGGATTCTTTATGTCTCGAGACTTTTAAACGAGCGGCGTTCATCAGCATATGTGGTGTGTTAGGGTCCACTCCAACCATAGCACGTAACGCCATCTTGTACATAAAGCCCGTAGACATCATCGGTAGATGTATGGCTGCGAAAACGGCTATCACACTCAGAGAATAAAAGAAGACGTATCTGTGCACTCGGATATTCTCACACACTTTCACTTCATACCGGACCACTTAGATCATGGAGTCGTCAAGCCGTACTCTATCGGCACCTCTCTGCCCATACATATACCGAGGAGGGAGCTGTGGGTGGGATAGTTGGTGTAGAGGTTTACTGTTACGAGCTCTCTATCAACTCCAGCTTCAGATTTCCTGACTATTGCAGATTCTTCCATGCCGAGGTTGCAGCCATTAAAGTAGCAGTAGATCTGCTGCTCCGGAGTGCAACCGTCTTCAGAGAAGTGACCATGCACTCAGACAGCAGAGTGCACTTACAGTGTGTTAAGTGTCGGTCGAGGAGTGCCTAATCTCGCTATTATTTAATAGCATCGAGTGTCTTCTAATGAGACTGGTATGTATGGCCAGCCCATAGCGGAATCGCAGGAAATTTCAAAGCTAATAAACTAGCAAGGAAAGGCAGCGGTGCCATGTTGTAAGGTTGGGATTATTATCAGAATTTACAAAAGAAGAATTGAAAGATGAGGTGGAAACAACTCAACACTGCCTTCTTGACTATMCCGCTTTTGGAATGTCAATCCTTAAACACTTGGTAGAACATACCTCCAGACATCCTACCGAACTTGCGGGGATGGAAATTAAACGCCTATGCAAATTTGTATTGGCTATCAAACGTTTTGCTAATTTATAAGTTCGAACACAAGAGCTCTTCTTTACAAGCGATCTTCGATCAGCCATGTAACGTAACTTAACCTGCTGTACTCAAAATGATAATTATACTTGTAGTATGTTATTTCTGTTCTTTTGTGTTCTACTATTTCTCACTGTCATTATACCCTAAACAAAATTCAATAAGCTTGCCACAGTATTCTTAACCGCCAAAACGAAACATCGGAGGTAAAATAAAGTATATGGCGATCAGCGTGGCGTACAAAGTTGATTTACTCATGTCCATCTCTCTGGCTGTCCATTCGTCAGGTTTTATATCCTGAACAGGGTATATTAAGTTTGTTACGAAGTTTGTAACACTTATAAGGAATCGTCGGAGACCCTATAAAGTACATGATCAGTATGTAGAGCTGATTCGATTTAGCCATGTTCGTCTATCTGTCTGTCCGTCTGTCTGTATATATACGAACTAGTCCCTCAGTTTTTAAGGTATCGTTTTGAAATTTGTCAAACGTCATTTTCTCTTCAAGAAGCTTCTCATTTGTCGGAACTGCCAATATTGGACAACTATAACATATAGCTGCCATACAAACTGAACAATCGGAATTAAGTTCTTGTATGGAAAACTTTCACATTTGACAAGATATATGCAAGAAATTAGGTATGAGTTATTGTTAATGTAATATCGAAAGAAATTGTTCAGATCGGCTCACTATAGCATATAGCTGCCATACAATCTAGTGCTGGTATGGAAAACTTTTGACGTGGTATCTTCACGAAGTTTTACATAGATTACTGCTTAAGGTAATAATATAATCTCTGAAAAAATGTTCAGATCGGATTACTATAGCATATAGCTTTCCTACAAACTGAACATATTGTTACTAAAAGAAACGCACCTGTGAAGGGTATATTAGCTTCGGTGCAGCCGAATTTAATGCTTTTTTTTTTTGTTTCTTTTTTCTTTAAGAAGCTTCTCATTTGTTGGAACCGCCCATGTCGAACCTCTATAGGATAGAGTTGACATGTAAATTGATTGATGAAAATCAAGGTTTTATTTGGAAAACTTTATTTTTGACAAATTATCTTCACGAAATTTGATATAAGTTACTTTAGAAGACAACGCTACAATCTGCAAAAAAAAGTATGCAGATCGGATCACTAAGCCTATATATGACTTCCTGACCAATAAAGATTTTCATAAAATATATTTTTTCCTGAGTTCGATTTGAAGTAAGAATTAAAAATATTATGAAAAATTATTTATTTTAGCATAATTTCTTGAACTATTAACTAATTAAAAATGTGTTATTATTTTGAACTAAAACAAGAAGCGTCAGCCACTTTATGTCACGTGCCACTGTATGCCGAAAAACATTTTCAAGTGGCACTTAAGGTTGTCATAACCAAACGCAAACACAATATATCAAAATGCACTTAAGCGTGCATGCTCTTAACAAAATTAATAATAATAAATTTGCAACACCAATTTAAATACCTTTAACTCTATTAATTTCAAGGCGTTCGGGCAAAAGAAACCCAAGGAAACCTGAAAATTTTTGACTAAAATCGTTCGTTTGCCGTCAAGTGCAACAGTTTCTCATACAAACCTCCACATGTAATTGCTGCCAAAACAAGGCATTTGCACGTTATCTACCCCACACCCACTGCACTTAATAGCCGTTCCATTGCCTCCGGACCGCACTGCATTCAACTCAAAGGCGGTAAGACTGGCATTTTGCTAATAAAACCATGTAGAAGCACGTGCTTTGGCGCTTTGCCTAAAACAATTCCAGTTGCACTGCTCATATACTATAAATATATACTATAAATATATACTATATATATAAAAATGTCTGTTTGTATGTATGTGTTATGGATAGTTTAATAATATTTAGAATATATTACACCAAATTGGTAATGTCTGTCAAATGACTCATTTCATTGCTTGGCATCGGCTATGAGGATTTGTTTTACCTTTGGCATAAAGTGATTTGGCTTGATTGCGTCATGCAACTATGTGCACTATGTTCTTGTACATTTATTTGTGTTTTTACTGCTTAATTTACATGTAAAATACATTAAATACGAATGCCGATGTTGTCTTTGCACAAACAACATACCTACTTTATATGTACACCAGTAAATGCCAATCTGAATAAATTGAAACAAGCATCAGTAAATTAAAATACCTGCTTTATTATGCATATGCATCAAACATAACTGCTAAACAGTAATCGTGATTCAGCTCTGAGAATTTTATAGGTTTATTTTAATAATTCAAATTGAGAATTCAAAGCTTTAGATACAAATTTCCTATATCTCTTCTTTGCCATAAGCACTTTGGCATATAAAGGGCGATCCATTTCGACCTTTCCTACTTTTTTAAAGAGTAACACTGAAACTTCCAATTTAATGGGGAATGTTTATTATCATTCGAAAGAACCTTCTTTAGCATTTATTTTTTGAAGATTTTCTCTTTCAAATGTTGGTCGTGGTTACATCTGATGGCCCATCCGTTGAGTCCAATTTTCGATGACTCCTTCAAGCATTTCGACTGGTAACAGGCCAATGACAAGCGTGTTGTGTGAGTTGGCATCAAATAATCGATTTTCATCGCGCGATAGCGATCGCCATTGATGGTTACGTTCTCACCGGTATCATTTTTGAAGAAATATGGACAGATGATTACACCGACGTTTGGTTTTTCTGGATGAAATGACAACTCTTGAATCATTTCAGGTGGTCTTCGTTCCCAATGCCGAAATTTCGCTTGTTTATATACCCGTTGAGACAGAAATGAACCTCATCGTTGAACATAATTTGGCTCGAAAACGTCGAATCTTCTTAAAATATTTCAAGAGACCATAGAGCGAAGCGATATCCTTTGGGAAGGTCGAGCGGCTTCAGTTCTTGAAATCAAGGATTGCAAGTCAACTGCGGTTGAAATATTAGAGTGTAGAATTTTCCATAGCAGCTTAACCTTTTTGAAATTTAAGGTTGAGTTGTCAACATCTTACAACTGAAGTCTACAACATTAATAACTGATAGGTTTTACCAGTAGTTTAATTCTCTGTGACATATCTCGGCATGAATAATTGAAAGCGAGTAAATAAACTCTATAAAATTAGTTTAAATTTTATACTCACACAGCATGTTATTACGGTTTTGTTCATCTAACGGTTTTTGTATCATCTAAAACTAAGGTGAGATGGTCAGATGGCGAGACGAGTTAAATTTTGAGTGATTGTCAGTCAGACCGCCTTACCGTTTGCCCACGAAAGCGGTAACTTGAGTAAAAACTGGAATTTTTATGAAATGTGGTACACTGTAAATAAGTTGTCTTAATGAAGCTTAGAGAGCTTTTACTTTCTTATTTTAATGAAATTAAGTGCACAATTTGAATATGACGGAAATTTGTCTAGACTGTGGTTATATCTATTTCTTCAAATAATGCATATTGAATTCTTTCCCAACATTTTTTAACGAAAATATTTCCGCGCCCTTAACTTTTGTAAATTGCAAACGTTATAAATTTTTGAATTACATCCGAACTTTCATATTTGTTAAGATTTCACTCTACAGATCAATTGAAATATCCCCGCCAAACTTAACGAATCACATTTTTTTGCCAAAATTTTTTTTTTTTTTTATTCAACATATTAGAGCGACCTTCCAACTTTTTAATACCATTTTTGCAGTACGATCGGCGATCATCACTCGAGTCGACGGAATTTTTTTCCTAAAGAACATTCTTCTGAGGTCTGAGAACAGCAAGTATTAACAGGGGGCCAGCTGTGGAGAATACAGTGCAATTGGAAGCCCAATCCATGAATTTTGCCATCGTTTTCAACGACTTGTGACATTGAGTTGGTGGAACAGCACCTTTATTTTCTTCAAATACAGCCGTTCTTCAGCGATTTTGTCCCTCAAACTCTGTTCCAAATCTTCAACATGTCTTTGTTTTTGGTCAAAAATGAGTTCGCGCGGCATCCACTTTGCACAGAACTTTCTCATACCCAAATATTTGTGAATGATATAATGTACACACTAATTTAATGTCTCTAAAATGTCTGCTATCCTGAACAACTTCACTTTCCGGTCATCCAAAATTATTTTGTKGAAWTTTTTGATGTTTTCGTCGGTAACAACCTCTTTTGGTGCCCACTGCGTTCACAATCCTTGATTTCACCAAGTCTAAACTTAACATGCCAATCTTTGATGACTTATTTTCTTRAGGCGGTGTCCGAAAACTCTTCATCAAGCCGAAAATTATATTAAACATGTAAGATTTTTTGTATTGTAGTCAAGTGGTATAGGGGTCGAGACACCACTATTTACTAAAATAATGTCAAAATTGTAGTCACGACAACTCAAGTACCCCACAGACCTCCTAGCACAACAGTCACAGGTGTTTCCCTCCTTCATCTGTTGAGTAGTGTTATCGTTGTAAGTCATACAACCAATAACAATCCTAAATTTGTATACATCATACATCTCTAGCTAGAACTACTGAACGGTAAGCTGAAATGAGCTCAAACATGGGTGTTGGTTGTGGCCACATATCAACAACGATGCGTATTTTGAATAATGAATTAGCAAGCGATGTACACGCCATATGTCAGCAGGAGTGTGGTGGGGTTATTGTAATGCGAACCGCAGTCATTCGATTAAATACGAGTATACAAGCTACAAATAAACATTCTAAGCTCACTAACGATAAATCGTAATGCGTTGCGATTTGGGCAAACACAGTATCATTAGTTGTTATTAGAGGGAGACTTTAGGCGAGCCGTGGCCGCAATCAGGAATTGATTAATGCATAACAGAAGTCGGTCGATTTGCAAATTGCAAACACATGTATACCACAGCAACCGCATGTTTGTCCACAGCATAATGCATTAGCAACTTGTATGACTAAATTTTTAAACATACACAGATTTCCGAGCTCTTTGGCGGCATGGAGGTATGCGGCATATCCGTGGTGGTCGGCAAAGACGGCCGCGAGCACATCATAAGTGCTTGTGATTGTACATTTGCTCTAATTGGCGATAGTCAGGAAGAAGATCGGCGCCAGATCGCAGATTTAGTCTCGGCACGAATGCAAGTGAGTAYATTGTGTATTAAATTAATGTAAAGCTTAAYTGAAACTACAATTCTCMAACATTTCAATCATTCCAGAACGTYTGTCGGCCAAGCATGGCACAGGCTGGTGGACCACCACATGGTATACGTCAACCATCACGCTCATCCATTTCCTCACGTGGTGAGAGTCCTACCGAGGATATGGCACCAACACCACCGGCACCCGCCGGTCCACGTCCGGCTCCAATGGGCGGTCCACCACCAATACCCGAGCGTACTTCACCAGCAGTCGGCTCAATAGGACGTCTCAGCAGTCGCAGCAGCATTTCCGAGGTACCTGAGGAGCCAACTGCACCGGCTCCGACCAGTGTACCCGGAAGCGCGGGCGGTGTGGTCCGACGGGATTCACAAACATCGCAGACATCGAGCGTATCGTCGGCCTCGAGGGTCTCGACACGTCCGCCGCAAACGCAAAGTTCCGTTGTTGAAGATGCGGAGGATACAATGAAGAATTTGCGTAAGACCTTTGCGGGGATATTTGGTGACATGTAGGAATTAGCGAACAAGAAACGCGGAAGAACAGCTAGCGAGACAAGCAGCGGTGGCGGTGGACCTGGCAGTGCAGGCGGCAGTGGCATAAGCGGCATCAGTACCGGTTCATTTCTAGGCAAGCAATTCTCGTTTGCCAGTAGCGGTGGCAAGTCAGTGAGTGGCAGCACTTCAAGCGTCGCCTCCGATGTTATCTCAGCACAGCCGTCACCCAAACTGGTCGCCGAGAAGMCATACGATGCACGTTCGGACACCTCAACGAACTCCACATTGACAGCGGGCAGTATGAGCGTTAGCGCCAGCTCAGCGGCTAGCTACAGCAGCAAGCCATCTTCCAGCGTTTTAGATACATTCCAAGAAGAGAACAAATACAAACCAGTCACCAATTTTGAGCCACAAGAGCGCGTTAATCCCTTCGATAAGGGCGCWCTAAAAACTTCCGCAACCAATCAAACTATCGGTAGCGTCGTATCCACCACATCATCTTCATCGATCTCATCCTCTTCGATTTCATCGCGCATCAATCGTAACGGCAATATGGGCATTAAGTCGCCACCACCGCCGACTGGACCACCACCGCCACCACCGACTGGCGCTATCACTAGCAGCAGCTACCGCAACTCAACCTCGACCACGCCACCAAGCGCCGGCAAGGATAACCGTACTTTCAATTACGGYAGCTCAACTTCCATTGAGACCATTACACGCATGGATACCAATACAACAAATACCACAACAGCTGGCCCGAGCAGCGATGCCGCCACTGCTGCTGGTGCTATCGCYGATGATAACAATACAACTGGCGTTGCTGCTGGCGCTACTTCCTCCACGAGCGGTGGCCCAGATTGGAAGTCAAAGATGGGCATACGTTCGGCAAGCGTCTACAGCGCGCCCGCCAATTTACCAGCAGCTGGTGATACCTCCGGCTATGCATCCAACTCAAGCCCTGCTTCGAACGCCTACAACACCACAGCCGATCTGCCATCGTACACACGACCATCTTATTCGCGCTCCGAGAGCAATGGTAATTATCTGGCCGTGGGCGTATTGCTCGTTAGTCTAACACTGCGAAAGTCTTAAGCGAAAAGCAAAGTGCAAATAATATATAGAGGCGATCGTGCAACGCTGCAGTGCCAATCTAATTCTCAAAGGCTTATTCACTACTTGAAAAAAAAAGAACATATCAGTCATACTAACCCATTATTCAAAGAAAAAATTAACGTATATTTTCTATCAGCTCATAATACATCCCTATACTCATACTCATAGCTCAGTACACATATGTATCATTACATAACCTCAAATAAGCGCAAAACTAATTAGCATAAAAAATATTTTTTCACCCCAAATCGAGAGCAGGAATTGAAAAGAGTAAAGCATACTAACAATAATATTTTCATAAGCGTGAACAAACTAGGGAAAGTGCTTCTAAGCCAACCCATGACCAATTGACTATAAGTAAAGGTTACTACTTCAGCGYCTAAATCTAGCCTACACTACTAAGATTTATTTTTAGAGCAGTGAAATGCTAAAGAGTAAGCCAAAACCATATAAATTTWCTACGAGCAAAAAAACATATTTTCATAAACATATTAACAGTTTAAAAACCATACTCAAAACGTAAAGTTATATCAGATACATTCTACAAATATGACAACCTACAGCATAAGACAACATAAAATATAGCCAAAACTTTTCCACTTTTCTACTCGCCCGCTTACCCAAAGAAATCAGCCCTATTCATTCAAATCCCATTATCTCATAGTCCTAAGCACTTTTGGTTGTAAGAAACAAGCCGTTAAGAAAATTCTAAAATTATGTGCCACCCACTAGATCCTTCCTCGACACATACTTACATACATACATGTAGACAACTAAGCCATATATATTTAGACAAAAACAACAATATTTCTACTCTACTGTACTCTACTTTATGCTAATCAACGTTAAACGCCTACGCTAACACGCCCATAACTGCTTTTCCGTCCTCCTCTCTAACGAACTAAATTCGATTCACACTACAATATATTATACGTTTGTTATTGTTGTATTCAATCGTCATGCCGCACTGAAGCATGTCGCCGCAAAGCAACAAAGCCAATGTTTCGTAAGTTCATAATTGTCTGGATAAATGCAACMCTGCAACTGAACAAACACTAAAGCAATATAATAATATGCAAAGATATATTTATTACCTTTTATTTTTTTTTTTTTTCTTTCTTAAAAGTAAACGACATTCTTGCATCCACAATATTTGTTGAATGTCTAATTATTAATCGAAAATAATACGAACTAAGGCTAAGCGCATAGTGGTGTGAAGAGCAGCTCTGCGTTTGGATAAAGCATAAACAAACGAATATAAAAGTATTTGGTGTAATATTACACAAAAAATTGTGTTTTTGTCTTTCTCATAAGTGATGTCTTACTACTCACCCCACTATGTGTTTAGCCTAAGGGTTTTTCACGGTATGCCGAGTGAAATTGGAATCTCCATAACCGTAAAAGGTAGCTGTAAACTCAAAATTTGACATTGAAACCTTGCATTTAAAAWATAATATATWTATTTTTGCAAATTAATTGCAAACTTTACAATTTCAAAGGCAACCGTGAAATTCTCCAGCACTTTAAGTAAAGTAAATTTGTTTAAGTTCGCAGTTCGAACTCTTAATTATTCGATTTCGTTTATCTCAAAGTATGAGAGCAACACTTCTTAATGCATAAACACCGCAATAATTGTTTTCTTTGGCTTTGGGCACTCTACACGCGGCACTATCACCCACTTAACTRCTAAACACACACTGCATAATATATAGTATGTATGTAAAAGTTGTGCAAAAGTATCGAGTGCTTCTGTCCTCAGTTGCTTTATGAAACATAACGAAGGCTTCATAAGCGTAATTGGAAACACGACGGTACAAATTGTTGGCTTCTTTGTCTTTTTGTCTATTTATTAATGCAAATTTTGATTTTCACACAACTGTTATTGGCGAATTTTGCATTTGAAAAAATTGACAAAATGTATTTTATGTCTGAACTGTACGTTATCTTATGCTTTCGGGTAGGTGCGGATGGGTTATCAAACTGAATATGATAAATTTTTAATTTAATATTAAATTTAAAAGAAACCCCTAACAATTCATTATATAATAGCTTTTAATAACTTYCTGCACTTGATTATAGAATTTTTGTTAAAGCAGCAAATTATATATGATTATTTATTTAAACACCTTCGTCCGACTGTTACTTTCTAATTATTTAAAGTAACCTATATGATTTTAAGAAATTGGACACATGTCATTATAATGACGAACGCCATTTATTTAATTCGGATATCCAATCCTTGATTTTTCTAGACTGATTTTTCGAAAACTTCTCAACGCGCCAGTCGTTTCTCCTTTTTGCTATGTGGCAAAAATTGGATATTCAAGGTAGCCAGGACCTTCTCCACCAGATCTCTGAATGTCTTCCTTCTCTCGGCTTCCCCCGGCGAGTACCGCGTCGTATACTCTCAGAGCAGGACTGTTTTCATAAATACGGACGATATAACTTAGCCACCGTAGCCGTTGTCTCTTAATTCGCTGAACTATGTCAATATCGTCGTCAATCTTGTACAGCCCATCGTTCCATTGACTGCGGTATATTGCCTACTCAGTCCCTGATAGCACCTGCGTTAGATTATTCTTTAGTAATAATACTGGTTCCGAGATAGACGGAATTATGACTATCAAGAGTGGCATGGGATGCTGCGTGCGAATTCTTTCTTCATGTTTGGCTAAAAAGGCAGTAACAGTCTATCCGTCGAACGAGATCATAGTGAACTACACCACGGTAATCAAGAAAAACTAAGAGCGCACCTGGATATATGATCGGTGCCAGCTTATTTTTGAAGCGTTATTCGTTAGATCAAGAAAAAAGATTATGTCTGACAGTTTGGTTCCTGCACTTAATTAATTAGTTAATTAATAAAGAAACAACACGGGCGGAAAAGATATTTTCATGTTCCAATCACTTGCACGACGACCAGAGTAGTTTCCTCGAAAAAGTAACTCCCGTTCGCAAACCTCATTCATTTTCAATTATACCAGATATTTTTATAACTATACAGATAATCTAATAATAAAAGATCTGGTAATCAACCATCAATATAGATTATATCGATATTCCGATGGTGTTTATATGTTTATTGAGGTGGTTTATTTCCAATTCGGACTTGGTATGTAACCTTAGTAGACTATGTAAATGGCTTCCCTCTGATTCATTATGCAATCAGTGTACAGTCCATATACTTTGAGACCATGCCTTAAATAGTAAACAAAAATAATTTYAAGCATCTTTTTWA